TACAAGCACGTGCCACCACACCTGGCTAATTTTTTGTAGAGACATGATCTTGCCATTTTGCCCAGACTGGTCTTGAACTCCTAGACTCACGTGATCCTATTGCCTCAGCTTTCCAAAGTGCTGAGACTATAGGCGTGCATCACCACACCTGGCCTAAAGTTATACTTATTGTTGCTATTTATCTAATAATATTGAAGCATTATCATTGCATAGACAGTCTAATTTTAAGAATCAAAAAATTTTGTTAACCATATCTAATAGAATAAAAATAAGTTAAGATGTTCATTAAAATGTATATGAAATAAAGTTTACAAAAGTTTGTTTTAAATAATTTAGTGCCACATAGAATTATAAAGTAAACTAAATGCAATTGTTTAAATACAAATAGATGAGCTAGCACTTTAAATTACTTTTTTCCATGAATGGGTGGTGTAAACATTCAGTTACTAAGTAAAATATTTAATTAGATGCTTTTCCAAAAATGGGCCAAATTTCCAGATAGATATCAGTACTTCTAAAATATTTAAAAGTATTTTTTCTAAAATAAATCACATGGGCTAGAATTGTGAATTGCATGATTGCCTCCAAGATATTTATGTCAAGATAAAAGTAAATGATTAAATTTCCAACAAATTAAATCTTGTTTGCCCAAGTTAGATCCTCACAGGGGCATTAAAATTTTTCTTTTACTTCAAAGTAATTTATAGATTTATTCTAAATTTAAATAAGTGGTTGAAACATTTTAATGATAAATTACTTATTTTTCATTTTTGAGATTTGTCAATATTATCATTTAAATAATTCTATTTTGAAAAATGTTTAGTGCACATCTCATCTAATAGTGATTTTATACTCTTTTTCAGTTCTTGCTCATAAAAACCTGTTTAGTTATAATCAGAGCAATTAATTTTGATTATTTCCCTTGTTTAAGAACACATCAAATATTTCTCCCTATTTTTTTTTTTTTTTTTTTTTTTTTTTTTGAGATGAAGTTTCACTCTTGTCGCCCAGGCTGGAGTGCACTGGCACGATCTTGGCTTACTGCAGTCTCAGCCTCTCAGGTTCAAGTGATGATTCTACTGCCTTAGGCTCCAGAGCAGCTAGGATTACAGGCACCCACCACCAGGCCCAGCTAATTTTTGGATTTTCAGTAGGGATGAGGTTTCACTATTTGGCCAGGCTGGTCTTGAACTCCTGACCTCTATCCACCCTCCGAGGAGGCCATCCACTCCTCTCAGCCTCCCAAAGTGCTAGAATTACAGGCATGAGCCACCACACCTGGCCATTTCTCCCTACATTTCTAAAATGATTATAAGTCATACACTAGAAGGTTAAAAAACATACCCTATTTAAGGACGATGTAACAATGTATTAAGTAATAGATACTGAAGAAAGCAAATATGGAAAGCTTATGTCAAAACTGGCTGAGGAAGAAGAATATATATAGTCAAAAGTGAAAGAAAAGTTAAACAGTGTATAAGAAATGTGATACTAAGTGGTAGGAGGTCACCAGGAGCTCTAACATGAAACTGGGGAGTGAGGTTAACGGGCAGAGTCCTGCATTCCCTTCCTTCTTTGTCAATCTTATTGGCAATGTTTCCCATGATCTTCAATAGCATTTCCAGGGTGGGAGTAAATCATATACAACACAGTAAGAGTGATATTCTATGTTACCACTCCAAAGGAAACCACAGAAGAGTCTTGGTAGAAGAACTGATTCTGCCCTGTGGTAGCTCCTTCTGAGAAATGGTGGAGATTTTTTTTTTCTTCTATTCCATTTCTACTTTGTAATAAACAAATTTTTTAACATGAAATCTTTAAACTGAAAAATTGGCTGCTAGATAGCTGTATGAATTTTCTAACTGAAACATTATCACATCTCTACTCACCACTAAAAGCAAAGAGCAAAAAACAAAACTTGTAATACGATTCCCCACCACCTCCGCTTGGTGAGTTCAAATCAACACAAACTGCACTACCTGTTCCAAACATCCTGACTGTTCCAGCCAGTCATCTCAAAGAAATGATCCTGTAATTACCCAGTTTGTCCGTTCGACCCCTAAATCTACTTCTTTCACACCAAAACGTCCAAATGAAAACACAGTTCGGGATTTCCTCTGATGTGGGATCATGTCTTATTTCCTACTCAATTTCCAACACTCAAGTGCAAATTAGACAGCAATGGTCTTAGATCCCACACCCAAGAAACCTTGGCTTACCTTGTTACTTGTTAGACAAATTATTCACAACATCAATCTCAAACGTCTACAGTCTTTATTGTTGCAGCTCTCCTGTCAGATGAGCTGTTGATCTTGCTGTGGTGCACCACTCAGGCAAAGTGTGCTGAAACAAATGTTCTGATACTTTCTTTCTTATGAATTTATCTAAAAACATTTTTACAATACTCGACACATATTTTCGGCAAGAAGTGACCAGAATACATCGGTTCTAGAGCTAATGTCTTAATGTCTACCTAAAAAATGTTTCACAGAGTTTATACTTTGTCATGTTGAGAGGAGGCCTATCAAGGACAGTCTTTGGCTTATTATCAGTGTATAATGTGTTTAAGAGAAATCAAGGAGATAACTAAATGTTACATCCTGGGGTACAGTAGAGCCAGAACAAATATTTAACACTGGGAAATCATAATTCAATAACATCAACACTGTTGGCTGTCTGCTACTATCTAAACAAGTGATTGATTGAGTTCTTTATATTTTAGCCAGTTAATCCATTGCCTTGCAATCCATTCCTTCACAGTGTGGCATTAAAATTGGGAATGGGCATGAATATAGGTCTAAAATGGGTCAAAATCAAGTCCTTATCAGTTCTGAATACATAACAAGAATGGACAGAGTTTATATTAACATAAAAACAAAGTTCATTTTATGAATTCTTGCTTTATATAAATACAACCAATAACAGAAAGAGGCAAAAAAAAAAAAAAAAAGTCGTGGCCAAAGCATTTTTAAAATAGAATAAATATATATGACTAACTGGATGTTCAAGTCCTTAAAAGCACTGTTACAATAATTTAGCATTTCCACCTAAATTTCGATTCAGCAAACTGGCCACTGCTCAGAATTTTCAACTTGAGAAATTAGAAAAATATAAAAATAATAATCAACAAAAAACAACTGAGCTCTGAACAATACTACAATTAAAATTCAATGCATTAAAATATTAAAAACCCTCCTTCATATTGTTCCATAGGAAACAAATGACAACATTAAGATTTAATAATTCAAGATTTAAGATTCAAGAATTATTATGAGCAATTATTTGTAGGTCTTCGAATACACAGAGTTTTCATTGGTGGAAAGACACTTATCCCAACCCACAGAAATCATATGAACATTTGAAACAATGGATGATTAGAGGAACTAATGTGTACTTGATCAGTGCTACACTGATGAAGTGCATCTATCGTCATCCACCACACTCCAAATTTTCAAAAAAGCAAACGAGAAAATGACTGAAACTTAACCTCCACATTGGTAAAATGTCACCTTCCCTCAGACTATAAACTTGATTCACAAAAATTATTCTACATTTTAAAATATTTTGTGATAAGCATAAACACAGAATTATGATTACATAGGAGTTAGGATAACACTCAAGAGAAAAAAATTCTGATTCTCAACATGGATAAAATATATGATACTACCAATTATTATAAAAGGGAATATAATTCAAATTCCTTTTTTTTACAGAATATTTTAGATGATAAAATGAAAGGGTCAGGTGCCTTGTTGTGTATAAACAAATTTATAATTTACACTATTTAAGTATATAGTAGTATGGGATAAGATTTGGAGAACAATTAAGATTAAAAAGTTAAATATTTTGTGTCTGCATTGTGCTCTTTTAGCAAATTCTGTTAATTAAGTATACTACAGATAAAGAAGTTTTATTAAATGATACAGTAACTTTACTCCTTAAAGTGTGGTAATACTATAACAAATAAACGTATACTCGAATGGCACGTTCATCTCTTTTTTTGTTTGTTTTGAGATGGAGTCTCGCTCTGCCACTCAGGCTGGAGTGCAATGGCGCAATCTTGGTTCACTGCAACCTCTGCCTCCTGGGTTCAAGTGATTCTCCTGCCTCAGCCTCCGAAGTAGCTGAGATAACAAGCACGCACCACCACGCCCGGCTAAGTTTTGTATTTTTAGTAGGACGGGGTTTCACAATGTTGGCCAGGCTGGTCTCAAATGCCTGACCTCATGATCTGCCCGCCTCAGCCTCTCGAAATGTTGAGATTGCGGGCGTGAGCCACTGCGCCTGGCCACAAGTTTATTTCTTAAAAACTAGGTGTCGCATAAGATAATATGTCTGTCTCAGAATATCTAAGTTATTTTACAGATATTTCTCCATACTTTTTATCAAAGCTAGAAATCTCCAACTTGACTTTATCATTCTTTTGGCAAGAGTATACATTATTGAACTGAACTCTTTGTTACTTTATGAAATCAATGTTTTTCAAATTAAATAATTCAATCAGAATACATTCATAAAAAATTACTCATTATTACGGAACCAAAATAATAACAACAAACCAAAGAAACCTCCATCAAAATGCCAAACAATCATTCCCAAAAGCCAGTCCCTATACATACTCTAGAAGAGAATGTAATCTTATTATCTTAGCTCACAGCAAACTTCAGACAATCTTATAGCATTGTAAACAGAAAAGCAGAAGAAGGAAATATTTGTTCAAAGATAAACTCCTCTTTAATAAGGCCCTCCCATTCTGCCTCTCATAGTTTTATAAACCAGGAAGTACATTCCATGACAGCGTGAATAATTTCATTACCTCTTAGTTTTACATCTTAAAACCAACCTATAGAATTCATTGAAACTATGAAAAAAGTGGGTTCAAAAAAGTCAACAAGCCTTTTAAAAAATGGGTGAAACAAAGCAAAGCAGAACAAAACGAGTCAAAACAAAACTATCACACACTTCATGGATTCATGGTAAAAATGAAAGAGACTTCTTACCAAGTACCCCAAGTCGATAGTTGACTGTGATGACGATCACATTGCCATAACTTGCCAAGACACTCCCATCATATAAATTTCCAGTACCTTCCATATATGAGCCACCATGGATATACACCATCACTGGTTTGGGACCCCCACTGTCCCGAATATCTGGAAAACAAATGGTTGGCAATCGTTCTTATCTTCAAAAATAGCACACAGTGAAGCAGAGCATACATTTTCCATTTTAGAAAAAAGAGGGCATAATTCCAATATGGTTCTTAAACGGCTGTTCTTATTAAAGTGTTTCTTAAGCAACTCATACGAAAAGCTATTGTGGAAATGAGCAATAGGCATCCATTGTTTTCTATCAAAATTTTATTTACAAGTTGTAAACTGACTTATGAAACTTAGACAAATTAAAATTAGATGTAAATTTTAGTTATTAACTTCTTAAGTGACAGTAAAATAAAGAGAAATAGAGTGGCAAGGACTCTCAGGACCACTTATTTAAAATGTTACAGAGCTCACATGACATTTATGAACAATAAACTAAAGACAATGGTATTGCTGCTGTTGTGAGTAAAACAATCTGTTCATCCTTTCTTAGGTACTGTAAAGCTTTGTATCAAATACAACATGATTACATCAAGTCATTTATGCTCCAATTTGTGAATATAATTACAGTCTTGTGTTATGCAAGATGTTTCATTTAACTACCTAAGTAATGTCAGATGAATGTTTAGGCAGTAAAGTCATGTACATCTGTGCTCTTCTTGTTGCATTTAGGGAAATGTCATTTGAATAATATTATTTTTAGAAAATTTAGGACATCCACTATTTACAGCTCCCCTTACCCTTTGGAAGAAGAGAACAGACAAATATTTTTTTCACTTCTTTGTGTAGCTAATATACTCTTCTTCCCGTTTTGGCTCTATGTTTTATCATGCAGACATGAGATGGGATAGAGCTAAGTTTAAGTGTAAACTGTCAAAATTTATGGTTAAAGTGATTTCTACAGCTCTGAATTTTATTAAATATGTTTTCTTTTCTCATACTTTTCCTCAATGATGTAATCTTTTATAAAGATCTAGAAATAATATATAAAGGAAACATAAGGTAAGTTTAATCAGTGTGAAAAATGCACTGATTTCTGTAGATAAGCCAAACTGTGTATCAGCAAACAGTTTCATCTACATATTATAAAGATAGAAATATTTGAAATATTACATGTATGCATATATATATATATATATATATATATATATGGCTCTGAATATATGCAGAAAGAAAACATTACCATTATATAGTAGCCCATGATCTCTTATACTCATAACTTAAAAAATTATACCAAATGTATTCTTTTTTATGTCAAAATTTAAAAGTATAATTTAATAATATGGTTTTGTTCCTTTGCTTTTGACTTTTTTATCAAATTTAATTCTCCTACATGCTAATAATTGAGGTGCCAGTTTTCAGAATGGACTAATAGAATACAAATTTATTGAAAGAAGTGGTGATTACTTAGAGATTCCTTTGCATTTTTTGTTAAAAAAAAAGAATGTGTAATGTAAATGCCTTGATTTCTAATGAAGAATCATTTTAGTATTATTTAGCATCAAGAATTGCAGCTCAGCTTGGTTGACCAGATGTTTGAGTTGGGGAAACGGGTCATTGCAAAACTTACAGACTTTTTTAAAAAATATATTTTAAATTTGACTTAATACCAGTGTATAAACCTACTAGTTTCCTTCTAGTCCCCCACAAGGTGCGTTTGAGAAGAATGTCTTGTTTTTAAGTAGTGAGGGAAGGATAATTTGACATAGGAATCCTTCACTGAACATAGACACATTTAAGAGGAAAAAATCTAAATTTCTTTTCTCCTTCAAACCTTGAGAGAAAAAAAAATAGTATTTGTTCATTTATAAAGATTTGGGGGCTTGTGGAGATGTTAGACTTACACAGAGAAAGTACTTTGAAATTGTTAAACTATGTACTTTAAATGCCTGTTTGCTACATACAGTTTCAGCTTCTTATTTTTCTAGTGTGGCTGGCGCTGAAGATGCAATAATAAATTATTAAACTGAAATCATTAACTGACTGTTCACAGCAGACACTGTACTCTGCTAATTGTATGCTTGGAGGTAGCACAGAGGGAGGCTGTTTCAGAATTCTTCTTTAATTAAAATTACATAGAATTACAAAGCACCAACTGTGAACAGTAATGAAATCTTGGTAGAACCATTCTGTTCACCTGGAAAACAATACAGGCACACATTGAGAAGACCCGCCACGTTTTATATTTCATAACAGAATTAAGTGGATATTGTCAGAAAACACTGAAAATATGACAACAGATTCTAGAAGCTATTTTGAGTGGTATCTCTATTTTTCTTGGAAAACTAGACTTTAAAGGATTACTGATAGTTTGGGTTAATCTTAATTTTTAATTTCCCTTTTCAAAATTTTCAAATTTAAGCCTTGTCTAGTAACTTAATATATTGATTTCTTTTCCATAAAGTTCTCTAGGATTCTTATGCTGTGTTCTGATAAAATATTTTTCACTTGAAGTAACTCTGAGATTTAGGTTATAAAAAGGATTATTAGGTTAGTGCAGAAGTAATTTTGGTACTTACTGAAATGGGTAGAATTCTTAGACATAACAAATGTTAATATTGCTAACAAAGTTTGAGAAACCATAGAAACTTTAGACAATTTTTGTTACAGAAAAAATTGGAAGTCTTTAATAGTGCATTGTCAGAGTGGTCCATCTTAGGCTTTAATTTTATTTTTATTTTTGAGACAGTCTTGCTCTTGTCACCCAGGCTGGAGTGCAGTGGCATGATCTCAGTTCACTGCAACCTCCACCTCCCATTTTTAAGCAATTCTCTTTTCTCAGCCTCCCTAGTAGCTGGGATTACAGGCACACACCACCATGCTGGGCTAATTTTGTATTTTTAGTAGAGATGGGGTTTCACCATATTGGCCAGGTTGGTCTTGAACTCCAGACCTCAGGTGATCTGCCCTCCTTGGCCTTCCAAAGTGTTGAGATTACAGGAGTGAGCCACCACGCTTGGCCAGGCTTTACTTTTTATAATGTTTCATTATAAATTTTTATCTTACGCTTAACTTTTATGCTTAGTTTATAGGGGTTTTAAAAATATAAATAGCAAATATAAAGAGTTTCAATTATAACGATTTCTTTGTTTTTAGAAAGAACCAGACTATAAATAAAACTAATATATCAGATAGCCTACCATTGAATACCATCTGTGAATTCCATCATTTTAATAATAATGTTGAGGAGGGCATTTATCTTCTGCAAAAATATATTAAATGCAGCTTAATTTATAATTAATTTTTTAGAGCTAAGTTGTCTTTTTAAACCTTGTTACATATTTAACTACCTATAAATATGGTGGAATTTGTGAACTATGGATTTTCACTTAAGATTTTTACTTTGCCTAAACAGCATCTACTGACCTTCCTAAATCACATAAGAACCCTCTCGGATATATTTAAATACTACTAACTTAGTTCCAGTAAAACTGCAAATGCTTGTCAGGCATGTTTACATTTTCTGTTATTTGCAATGGTTTAAAGCCTTTGTAAACAAACATATTGAAATCAAGTTCTTCAAGTTAAAAAAAAATATTTGGAATCTGAATAAACACCTTGATTTAAAATTTTAGTACCTATTTTATTTTCTTATAAACCAAAATCCTGAGCCAAGATAGAAAGTTTTGATAGATTCCAAGCAGTTAATGGGGATTTATTTGTGTCTCACAACCAGGATTTGAAATCAGTTTCTATTAATGATCCTAGTGAATAATTATTCATGATATAATCATTAAATATGTTTACTGTTTTTTCTTCTTCTTAAAGGACTCGTGAAGTATTTAAATGCCCATATGTTAGAGTTTTTAGGATTAAGAGTTTTAATATTGTGAAGTATTGCCTCAATTAAATCTTTTTCTATTATAAAAATACATTTCAGGCAGACTTTTGTGCCTCCCACTCATTTCTATGAACCTCAAGTTATCATTCAGAATAATTGAATTAATAAATAGAAATGCTGGCTGAATTTCTGCTCATTAAACTGGACATAACAGAATTAACGATGTATTTTTAGTTTAAAAATATTCAAAATCTACAAAAATTTTTTTTTTTTTTTTTGAGACGGAGTTTCGCTCTTGTTACCCAGGCTGGAGTGCAATGGTGCTATCTCGGCTCACCGCAACCTCCGCCTCCTGGGTTCAGGCAATTCTCCTGCCTCAGCCTCCTGAGTAGCTGGGATTACAAGCACACACCACCATGCCCAGCTAATTTTTGTATTTTTAGTAGAGACGGGGTTTCACCATGTTGACCAGGATGGTCTCAATCTCTTGACCTCGTGATCTATCTGCCTTGGCCTCCCAAAGTGCTGGGATTCCAGGCTTGAGCCACCGCGCCCGGCCCCAAAAAAATTTCTTAAAAGAAAATATATAGGATATAAAATTGCATTGAAATATATATATATATATATATATATATATATATATATATATATATATATATATATATATATTTGAGACAGAATCTCACTCTGTTGCCCAGGCTGGAGTGCAGTGGAGCAATCTCAGCCCACTGCAACCTCCACCTCCCAGGTTCAAGTGATTCTCATGCCTCAGCCTCCCAAGTAGCTGAGATTATAAGCACTCACCACCATGCAAAGAGTAATTTTTTTTTTCCTATTTTTAGTAGAGATGGGGTTTCAACATGTTGGACGGGCTGGTCTCAAACTCCTGACCTTAAGTGATCTGCCCGCCTTGACCTCCCAAAGTGCTGGGATTACAGGCGTGAGCCACCACACCCAGCCTAAATATCATCAAGTTAATATGAAGGTATTCTCAGCACCATTAAATTTTTTTAAATACTTTTTAAATTTCTTAAATAAGTTGGTAGAAATCTAGGATGTTACTTCGAACCATTTTTGGCACTTCAGATTAGTTTTGTTTTTAACTATGAAATTGTCTTAAAGATACACAATTCTGCTGGGCATGGTGTCTCAGGCCTGTAATCCCAGCACTTTGGAAGGCTGAGGCCAGTGGATCACCTGAAGTCAGGAGTTCGAGATTAGCCTGGCTAACATGGTGAAACACCGTCTGTACTAAAAATACA